TATGTCTGTAAAAGTAAGAGAAAAATGGAAGGATGTAATAGATCTGAATGATGTCTGATTTTGTGGAGTGGAGGTGATGAATACAGACAAGGAAATGAAGTATGTTTAAATTATGAATTATGAATTGAGCATGCCAGAAGATATGAATAGATGCCATCTATATTGCTGGAGTGTGTATAAAAGTAAGAATCTATAGGATGGTGATAGTTGCATGTTACCCTCCAGTGAATGATGAGGATGGAAGAACCAGAGATGAATCTTGGGAAAAATTGCACAGTATTTCAAATGGATATAATGCAGAGAAAAAAGAATTTGGTTAGCTGACATGAATGGATGGGTGGCAATAAGACAAGAGAGTAGAACAAGCCTGATTGGGCCATTTAGAGACCCAAGAATGAATGAGAATAGAGGCTGATTTAGTGAGCATCTGTGTAGAAAAAAGGTCTGTTTGTTTAAGATATCTGGTTTAAGCATGTCTATTTATATGTACATATGGCAAAGAAACTAATATAATTCTGAAAGCATGATTAGATTTGATTGTTCATGATGTACGATTGAGAGAATAATGAAGGATAAAAGGTGTTGAAAGGTTCTGAATATGGGTCAGACCATTCTGGTTGTATCAAGAGTGGATTTTGGGAAAAAATGGACTTGGCTGAAAAGGAAAGAAGTAAAGAAAACAGAGGGAAGATAGAATGTATGAGACGTATGAACAAGGATGCCTGTTTTCCTGCTGTGGCTGAGGAAAACAATGCATAGAAGAAAATGATCAGTGCAAAAAAAATGAAGTCAACAAATATATTGTATAATGTATGTATAGAGAGAAAGATAGTTGCAAAGGATGTTGTCAGAGAGAAAGGAATGGTTAAGATTAAAAGAGGAAGAGAAAATGCAGGGCAACATTGATAGAAATAAAGTGTTTTGGAAGTGGTGAAGAGGACTAAGCAAGGAGTTAGCAGCAAAATGATTAAAATAAAAAAATGAACACGATGACATGATTTGGCATGAAACTGAAACAAGGGAATTCTGGAAGGAGTGTTTAGAGATTTATATGGAAATTATAGTAATTTCAACCTATAGAATTGCAACAAATGCTATAAGTATCCAAAAAAAAATTATGAAAAGGAAGATATAAGATGAGAATGTTGCAAAATAAGGCTGCAGGTTTAAGTGTTTTCATTTGAGGAATATTCAAATGTGGATGTGCTTTGCTTATGCTGTGGCTGAGCAACTTGTCTAACAGGTGTGTGCAGACTATATCTGTGCCTGATATTGTTCTCTTATACAAACAGAAATAGGGCAAGAGTGAATCTAAAAGCTATAGGGAGAGTAGGCTACTAAATGTATTTTAGAAAGCATTTGGCAGAATTCTAACTGAAATAGTACAAGAAGTGACAGTGAACAAAGTGTGGGAAGTGCAGTATGGCTTTAAACCAAGCAAGGGTGTGTAGACAGATTTTGCTGTTCAGCAAGAGAATTGTATGTAGATGAGAAAGAAAGTGTGTTGGACATCTGCTGATTTAGAGAAAGCATATGATAAAATGATTAGACATGAATTATGGACTCTTTTGCATTAAATATGGAGTTGAAGGTTGGTTGCTGAATGAAGTAAGGGCAGTGTGTGATGGAAATGAAGCATGTGTCAGAATAAATGGAATGCTTAGATAATAGGTCACCAGTGAGCAGAGAGCGAGACAAGGATTGGTTGTTTAAAGCACTTATGGATAAATCTATAAGAAATCCTTGGGTTATATTAGAAGTGTGATGGTTGTATGCAAATGCTGCCGTGTTGTCAGTTGAGAACCTGAATGATCTGCAGTGAATATCAGCTAGATTATATGATGCATCATGAAGCATAAGGAACCATGTTAATTATGCTTGACAATGGAAAGTGGAGTAAATGATTGCAAGTTATACATAAAAACTAGAATTTATGTACCTTGAATGCTTACTAAAGGTAAGGAAATGGAAAAAAATTTATGAAGTGCAAATATTGGTAGAAAGATAATGAGAGCATGTTGTCTGTTGCAAGACATGAATATTTGTTGAAAGAAACACAAACTGTTAGGTAAAGAAGTGTGTTTCTGCTTACTTTGTTATATGGACATGAGATTTGGATATGTCAGGAGAAACATAAAAGTAAGTTCAATGCAGGGAGAATTTAAGAAGTCTGGAAAACAAGAGAACATGGAATCAAGAATTAATGTGGATGTGAGTGATCAGTACATTGAGGTGGCTTAATCACAGAATAAATGAGGATCAACTTGCAAAACAAATGTGTAGGAAGAGTGAATGAGTCAACAGGAATAGGAAGATAGCAAAATTTGTGGCTAGCTGGTGCTGAGACCCTCAAAGAGAGAGGTCAGAAGTTCAAAGAACAACAAGCAATATATGGTCTACAGATGTAGGATAGTTTGCAAAGTCAGAGAAGTATAGTGAATATTGGTGGAAGCTAGATTTAGCTGTATTTCCTTCTCTTCTTCTCACACTGTACCTTTTTTTTTGCTTATTATTCTGCTTATTATTGTGCTTTGCATAATGCATTATAATATGCTTATTATTATGCTTTGCATAATGCTGATGACCCTAAGAGAGAATAGTACCACGTATGTAGGATGTGTGTGCCCCCATATAGCTGGTAAAGAGTTCCCCAACATGCTCAGCTAATGCATCCTAGCATTGAGCTAGCTATGATTCTTAAGTGACGTTCACATAACTTCTACCTAGTTAGGTCAAAGTCAAGTCTACCCTCAGCCATAAAAACCCACAGAGTGTTTCAGGACAATCACTCACTGGCAACTCAAGCTACCTGACAGGATTGTGGTGGGGTTCAGAGAAATCCCCATAGAAACTGCCTTGAGCTCCTGGAGGAAAAATGGGATAGATGTGTAATAAAATATTAAACTAAATAAAAGATTAGAAGGATCAAGATGGACACGTTTTAGGGCGAAGAAGGCAGAGGTAGTGACATACAGTATTTGACTGCTGCTTGTGTGCATCCATGTACACATCAGCTCTCACGCTCCCCCTCCTTTCCTGTTTCCTGGCAAGAGCTCCATCTTTTTAACATTTTAACGTGGCATGTATGCATCTACATGCATTTGCATTCATTCTTCAGCTTACTAAACAAAATCTATTTATAAACAGTTTTAGAACAGTTCTGAAGATTAGGGAGGTGGGGGGAGGAGGTATGCTGGTGAACTGGGTGCAAGCCATGAGGCCTTTCCGCTCTTCCCCCATCTCTCCGATATGCAAATTCCCCCTCTGAGGGCATTCCATCCATAGCAATTGAGGGTTTCTGCAGTTTTTAAATGTTCTGCTTGGCTGCACCTCTCGCCCGCTCCCTCAACTTTAAAAGGATGGGGAGCATCTGTGTCTGCCTGAGATGGTCTAAAGCTACATTTCCCCTGCAGTCCTATCTAGCATGGCCAATGCTAAGGGGTGCTGGGAATTGTATTTCAAGCCTGTCTTATAAGGAAGGAGAGCCGCGGAGTCCTTGGGGTTCTCTGAGCTTGGTTGTTTTCTTGCAGATGTTGCATTACCCGTCTAGGTAACATCTTCAGTGTCAGCGTGGAGAGCTAGTTTGGTGTAGTGGTTATAAGGCACTGGGGTAGAAACCAGGAGAACGCGAGTTCTAGTCCCGCCATAGCACGAAGCCACTGGGTGACCTTCGGCCAGTCCCTCCCAGCCCTAGAAAGCAAACCACTTCCAGAAAACATTGGAGGGAAAACTGCAGGGGCTAGTCCCAGCAGTCTCCAGGAGTCACAAACTGACTCGGAGGCACACACGCACACCGATAAGGAGGGGCGAAAGACCTCATGCCCTAACCGTGCCCGGCCCCGCAAATTCTTCGCTGCAAGCGGGCGCCCTCTAGAGCGGCCGAGGCCTGCGCGTTCGCGGCTCCGTTTACCCGGCGGGCTAGGTGGAGAAGCGGGGTGGCGGAACTTTCCAGTTGCGAGGGCTAAACTGTGCTTCTTTCCTCTCAATTATTCTGTTGTGACGGGACCAGGAGACAAATTGGCATGTCAGGGTAGCTGGAGAAGGTTTGGAAAGAGAATTGTGCAAATGAATACAGATGGGCTTCAGGCGGCTGGGCCTGCTCGCCGTTTAATCCAGGGCCTGCTCGCATTAAAACAACCGCTTCTACACCGGGCCCTAAATTGGATGAAAATTGCCCTTGAACGGCTACAGAAACCCAGAAACGAAAGGGGGAGGGGCAAGCACGGGATTAAAATAACAACAACAGACCAGGTTTTTGTTTTTTTTGGGGGGGGTGAGCTCTATTTGTTTTGAAGTGAGTGGGTAGGAGGGGAACGCGCGTCCCCCGGGGCAGTCGGAAATCCATCTGTCTCCTCGGTAAATGTAAGCAAGGGAAGGAGCGGCCCCGGCAGGGCTTTATTGAAACAAAAATTGACTTGATTGTTGGGGATTACGGAGCGTGGCACGGAACGGCGCGGAGGATAATAGATTTGTTAGCATAATAGAGCCCGTCGCCAGGAGCTGTTAGCGTCATGCCTGGGTGGAGATCACGTTTCGCGGACGGCTCGTATATCACGAAATTGAACCCCTGGAGGGTCCCCCATCAACCCGGCGAACAGCGCTCTGCCAAACCTCCCCTCCCCTCGCTCGCCGAGCTCTCCCCCACCCCTGCCCTGCCGACGAGGGGGAGGCGGGCAGGGTGTGCGCGTGGGCGTAGACGCGGAGCAGGGAGACAAGAGAGGAGGGGCCAGCCCGGACGGATGCGGAGGGGGAGGAGAG